AGCAGAAGATTGCAAAAAAAAAATTGACTACACATATGGAGAAACCAAATGGAGCTATTTAGTACCAGACGAAGGTGAAAGAAGATTATGTTCTCTGAGGCACACATTAGATTACAATTTTTTTTGTTTTTACAAAAGTCAGTAATAAAAAGAATGTGGCTTCCAGAGCAATATTAATAAATAATGTATGTATTTTAAAATATAGTAGCAATACATCTATAAGGAATATATGTAACAAGCGCATATTAACAGTTAACAAAACTGAAATTAAACTAAGGCTTAAAAATTACAAATTAACAACAATCCTGGAAGATAAAATGATGAACTTGTTTTGCAGAATATACTTAATTATAACACTGATATACAACAGTTCACTGAAATAGTGGGTTCCATCATAAATATACATTTTGAGATTCACTTTAATTTAGCTTAAATTGTTATCCCAATTTTCACTAAATTTTATTTTCATGCAATGCAAGTTATGTTTTCTTTTTTCACTTATCTTGGTAACTGGTATTACCAACATATACATTCAAGTAAATTTGTGTTGATGGCTGTTATTATTGTGTTTCATAGGGAATTACTTTAGCAGGAAGGAAATGTAAGACTAAAATATTATCTTTTCCCACGAAGATAATCACTTTAATTTAATGTAATTGAATTCTTATATATTTAATACTTTTGCATTTAAAGAACATTTTCCTTTGGAATTTTATTGACTATTATTGATTGGGTGTGGTCTATCTTTTCTATTCTCAATGAATCAAATTTTTTTTGCTCTTGAATTAACTTCAACAATTTCATTAACAATCTTGTACCTGTTAATTCCATTAATTCACCTCAAAGAATACCCTATGGCCCATAGTTTCTGAATATGTAATGTTTCTCAAGGAATGGTTTGTACACTTGAGAAAACTGATTGAGAAAGTCCTTGCAAATACACCTGTAAGAAGAATGATTTTAATTCTCTTGGACTAACATCATTATCATGTTTCTGGAAATATTTCCATTCGCTTTGCTTGCACTTAGGCCTAATGATGAATTAACAAAATAACTTACATGGTAGAGCCAAACGTAACAATTTCAAGCCTTTCATTTCCAGCAAAATTATGATATAACAAATCACAATCATAGACTTCATTATATTCAAATGACAATTGGTAACATTCATGTTAGGGTACAGACAAAGAATAGTTTATTTAAAATACAGTAGTTCATTTGACATGTACATCATAAATTGTCTCATAGAGTTGTAACAGGCAATGTTGATGGCTTAGGTTTATCTCAATCTACATGTGACAGAGCATGCAATCAAGAAGTTTAGGAATCTGAACCTCAGATCTGAACAATTAATTTTCCTCACAAAACCATGTTAAAAACTTGAGGATGAAAATACAAATGGCAGCAATTGTGAACAGATTTATATATACTATTGTGAACTCTATATGTATGCACATATATATGTACACACATATATATGTATGTGCATATGTGTGTAAGACACAGAGGATGTGAGATGTTTTAGATATTTAAAGGGATATTCTGTGATTAGTGAAGACTATGCATATTGGATATTGAAAAAGAAAAAATGACTTTGAGTTAGTGTGAGATAATTCAAGTGCACAGCATAAGCATTCCTTTATTTATTGAGCAAAGGACACTAGAATCACAATATAGAAGGGATGCTGCTTATCTTTCAGAAATTCTTAGAAATGCATAAATATCAGTCTACAAGAATGGGTCACATAATTAAAATCTGTAATCTTTGTGAGTCAAACAAAGCAATATTCATCCAAAAAACATTTGAATGATTCAAAATTACCTTCCCTTTGTCAGTGACACATTTCTATCTTTTACATTTCTGTATTTTTAAATATAAAAATTATATTTATATATATATTTCCATAACTACAGATGGAGCTCTCTGTTCCATTCCTTTATGAATCTCATAATACCATTACCTTAACTACAACCTTAATACTTAATTACAGATGAGACTGGGCATATTCAGAAATTTTTTTACAGAATTAGAAAAATTATCTCAAATTTGTGTAAAATCTTGTCTACCATTAGAGAGAACATATGATATTTGTCCTTTTGAGATTGGCTTATTTCACTGAGCATAATGGTCTGTAGTTGGGAACATTTTGATGCAAATGACAGGACTTCATTCTTCTTTAATGATGGTATAGCAGTCCATGGAATAGATGCACCACAGAATTTTTTATTCATGCCAAATACAAACACAAATAAACATGTAAGTGAACAAGTATGGGCACATATGCTCATAGATGAACTGTATGAGTAAGACTAGCATACTGCGGGATGAACCTGCATCTCAGTTGACATTTCCACACTCTAATAAAAGGAAGAGTCCCCATGAAGCAGTTAAATCTATCTTCACAATGGGACACTATATTTTGTTTATACGAACAATACCATGATATTTGTAAACAGTAGCATATTAAACTTGTAACTGTTACTGAAGAACTATATTGCTGTAATAATATGGAGGGAAATAGAGAAAGAAGAAAATGGTGAGGGAGAAAGGGGAAGGAAACTCCCAATACCTACAAAAATGTATCATGGAAAATAATGAAAGTATTTTTTAAAACTTGTACGAAACCACAAAACGCTCAGAATAGCCAAAATGATCCTGATTGGAGTGGAGTACAACCTAAAGGCATCTCAATGCCTGACTTCAAAGAAAACTACAAAGCTACAAAGCATGAACAACTGTCATCAAACCAGCACATGGATCAATGGAAAGATAGAGAACCTGGAAATTATTTCACACATGTATAGCAAACTGATTTCTGACAAAAGGCCTAAGACCATACATTGAAGTAAGTAATCTCTTCAAAAGATAGTGCTTGCAAAACTAGCTGCATATACATGTAAGAATAAAGTTAGGGGCCCAACAGGGTATCCTGGTGGCTAAGTCCTCACCTTGCAATGCCAGGATCCTATGTGGGTGCCGGTTTAGGTCCCAGCGGCTCCACTTCCCATCCAGCTCCCTCCTTGTGGCCTGGAAAAGCAGTCGAGGATGGCCCAAAGTCTTGGGACCACGCACCTGCATGGGAGACATGGAAGAAGCGTCTGGCTCCTGGCTTCAGATAGGCTCAGCTCTGGCTCGTTGAGGGATGAAACAGAGGAAATATCTTCTTTATATATCTGACTTTCCAATAAAAATAAATCAATCTTTAAAAAGAAAAGGATGAAGTTAGATCCATTCCTCTCACCACATATAAAAAAGATGGATTAAAGAACTAACTTTACGTCTTGAGACTGTGAAAAAGAAAATTAGGGGAAACACTGCAAGATGTCGGTGATAACATCCTGGCTAGGGCCCCCAACCCCAAGGGGAAAAGCAGCAAAATCAAACTAAACAAATGAGATTATTTTAAAAGAAAGAACCAAGACAAAGACATCCACATAGAATGGAAACTGTTTGTAAATATTTTAAGAATTAATATAAAGAATTAATATCCAGAATATCAGCAACTCAAAAAACTCAACGACAGAATAGCAAACATTCCAGTTCAGAATTGAACAGAGGACTTCAAAAGACAGTTCTCAAATGAAAAAATAAAAATGGCCAACAAATATATGAAAAATACTCAATATCACTAGCCATCAGGGAAATGCAAATCGAAACCATGATGTTACATCATCTCACTTCCACTAAGGGTCCAAAATATAGTGCGTAAGAGATGCTGGTGATGGAGTGGAGAAAAGAGAATGCTTATGCATGGGACGTCACTGATCCCAGCGACCATGGCCAACAGGACGGTGCTTTCTTACCGAGCTAGAAATAGACTCGCCACGTGAACCAGCAAACCCACTGTAAGGATATATACCCAAAAGACATGAACACGTGGCAAAGATAACTGCATGACTATATTTTTAACAACACTGTTTACAATAGCCAAAATATAGAATCAAGCAAGATGTTCATCATCTGATGAATGGGTAACAAACATGTGAAACACAAATATGTACATATAAGGGAATATTATTCAGCTATGAGAAGGGTGATATTCTACCATTGAAGAATGTAACCGGAGGACATCACATTGAGTAAAATAAGATAGGCATTGAAACACAAATATTGCATGTTCTCCCTTATAAATGAGAGCTAAAATTGGGGGAAAGTAATAAAACAAAAGTATTGATGCAAATACATTTTGTCATTTTTGTAAAGATCTATTTATTTTTATTGTAAAGTAGTCAGATATACAGAGAGGAGGAGAGACAGAAAGGAAGATCCTCCATCCATGGATTCACTCCCAAAGTGGCCACATGGCCTGAGCTGAGCTGATCTGAAGGCAGGAGCCAGGAGTTTCTTCCAGGTCTCCTCTACAGATGCAGGGTCCCAAGGTTTTGGGTTTCTCCACTGCTTTCCCAGGCCACAAGCATGGAGCTGGATGGGAAGTAGGATTGCCATCGATAAGAACCATCACCCATATAAGATCCTAACACATTCAAGGCGAGGACTTTAGCCACTAGGCTACTGCACCAGACCCTGAATGGTTTTTTATAACTTTGACAAACCAATAGTTAAAATGTTTTGCTACTATAGTCTAATGATCTGTGATGGTTTAAAAATTTCTCTGAGTGAAATGGTCATTTTTCTTCAGTTGATTATCGCTTATAGCTCCTCCCTATGTTACTGTTCAACTAGGGTTTTTGTTTTTAACTTTTTCTACTTACTGATTCATTTATTTTGTGGATGACTAAGCCCTTGGATGTAATCTTAATTACTATGTAATCTTAATGTTAGTTGATATCAAAAACATGTTATCTCAGAGAGAAAACAAAAAGTCACCCTATATGTGGAGATGAAAATTCCGGCATATTCAAACATAAGATTTTCGTGGCCGTCAGGATAGTATGTCCATGGCACAGACACGCACATTTGCCATAGACTATCAAGTTCTTTACAAAAGTCATAGATGATAGTGACAGTAAAATTCTTCTTTGTTTCCTTCATTTGACAGGATTACACACTTACTATGTATTTCCAGCAGTCTTGGAAAGACAAAAGGCTTTCTTATTCTGGAATTCCATTAAACCTTACCTTGGACAACAGAGTAGCTGACCAACTCTGGGTACCAGATACCTACTTCCTGAATGACAAGAAATCATTTGTGCATGGGGTCACAGTGAAAAACCGAATGATCCGTCTACACCCTGATGGAACAGTTCTCTATGGACTCCGGTAAGTGTCTTTTTGTTCTATTTTTTTCCAATGCTGTTTTGTTTCTACCTGGAAATGCATGAAGAAGGGAGAGAAGACACAGGTTTTCTCATAATAAAGACCAGCAAATGAATCTGGGAAGAGTTTAAGCTCAAAAATAGCAATACCATCTATCAAATGTAAAGAATTTTGGGGCCCGGCTTTCAAGTAACAGACGAAATAACAAGAAAATGGGTCTTTGCCATTGATTTCACACCTAGCTGGTTTTAGGAGTTACATATCTTTTTTGAGTCAGTAGTTTAGCCATGTAGATCTAAATGAACTGAAATGTGTTATGATTTTTGGACTTAGGAAAAGGAACTGGAAAACAATTGTCAGAAGAAAGTGTTTTGTGGTGACATCAGAAGATGTACATTGTCTTTATTTATATTTTTGCTTTAGTATTTTGCTTTTGCATTTTATGAGTCTATGAACAACGTTGAATTAATTTATGTCTTTTGGGTGAAGAAGCAGTTGATGTTTACTTTTCTCAGATGGCTATCTAGTCACTTGAACATCAGTAGTTCAAAAGAATTCTTATGTTTTCATCGGAGTATCTTGGTGCCTTTGACTATAGAAGTGGGCAGAGGGTACCAGAGGTCCTGTTTCTGGCTCTTTTCTGTGCAGTTGTTCCATTTGTCCATCCTTAAGATCTCTGGTTCTGGTTTATTTGCTGAAGCTAGTATGGTAAAGAGCTATTGACTAACTTCTGAGATAAGTCTTCCAACTCTACTTATTTTTCAATATTGATTTAGGTATGCTAGGTCTTTAGCATCTCCCTGCAGCTTGTAGAATTAACTTGTCAATTTCTATGTTTAAAAAATTCCTTCAGAGATTATAGTCATGAGCATTGCTTTTCTAGGGCAGTTAGCAAAAAGCTGACTTCTTAAAATAATCGAATCTTCTAATTTGTGAACGGGATGTAATTTTGTGATTTTGATTAGCTTTAATGTATATTGACCATACAATGTTCAATGATGCTCTTATTTAATTTTGTTTTGCTATGGCTGAGTCAGATAAAAAGAAGTTATGATATACTTTTGGAAGTCTATGATTGTCCTTCATGTAGTTAAGGGTTTGCCAGAAATTTTGGGCTGTGGTTTCAAGATTAGCTTCCAGTTTTACCAAAGAAATGTTTAACTTGTTACTACAGAGTTTTAGAGTGCTGGTTCTCTCTACTTTGCTTTCATTTTTTTTTTTTTTTGACTCTTGTGAAGCAGCTAAAAGCTCCATGCCTTCAAATTAATATATCTCCAATATTTTCCTGCCATTTTAAAGAGTTCATCAGCCCCCACAGTGTCTTTCAGTGTACTATGAACACCAAGTTAAAACTCTAATTACAGGTTAAAAACTCTAATTAATGTGTATACTGAAACATACTAACAGCAATATGTGGTCAGAAATATATCTGTGATAAAATTTCCCATTCTTGAAGTAATGATTGTTTTGTCATTATGTTTGGTCCTCACTTGCTCGAGTGAATGGCATCAATTGATCTTGGCAAAATCATCTTTGCATTTTTCCACTATTTTAGAGCTCCAAAAGTTTTCAACAACAATTGAAAATCTGTGATAAAAATCTTTCAGAAATATGATGAACAGGTACCTTGAATTATTGATCATCACTATAGATAAAATCTATCTACTTAAGCTCGGAGATTGATCATCAGTGATGTTTAATACAGTGGAACTCACTAGCAATTCTGAAACCCACACAAATTCTGCAGGTATCCGAATTGCGTAAGTAATGGGATATACTAACTCCGTGAGACAACCAAATAGGCTAATCAGGCACTACACATGTAAATTACTCATCAGTCATTTGTAAGAAAATAAAAAGGTAACTAATTTTTTTTTTTATTGTAAGAAAGAATGTAGATCAAATGTTCAGTTTCTAGAGTCTGGCTTCAGGACTTTTCAACTTATTGACATTCTATAACAACAGAATGACACAGAGAAAATAATTGACGATGAAGTTGCACACATCCTATTTTACAAATAGGAAGCTGGGGGCCCGGCGCGATGGCACAGTGGTTAAGGTCCTCACCTTGCACACCCGGGATCCCATGTGGACGCCGGTTCTAATCCCGGCAGCCCTGCTTCCCTTCCAGCTCCCTGCCTGTGGCCCAGGAAAGCAGTTGAGGACAGCCCAAGGCTTTGGGACCCTGCACCCGCGCGGGAGAACTGGAAGAGGCTCCTGGCTTCAGACCTACATAGCATTGGCCGTTGCGCTCACTTGGGGAGTGAATCATCGGACGGAAGATCTTCCTCTCTGTCTCTCCTCTCGGTATATCCGCCTTTCCAATAAAAAAAAAAATAAATCTTTAAAAAAAAAATACAAATAGGAAGCTGGAAGCACAAAAGACAAATTAATCTTATTTCCAGGGAACAGTTAGTGATTGGCAGAGTTGGGACTAAAGTACAAACATCCTGATTCCCACGATTTTACTCTTCCATCGTCATTACCTTTCAAATACAAGTAAAAGTCAATGCCTCCTGCCAAACTATGCAATCTAGCTTTCCTCTCCTTGGAGCTATCTCGGGTCTTCGTAGGGTTTAACCTGCACACAACTTCCTTCCAAAGGGAGACACAAACCACTCGTCTGTTTTCTGGGCTCTGATCTTTTTATAGGGCCAGTTTTTTCCATGAAATCACACACCAACCCTCGTATCTTCTCTTCCTCCTCTGCTTCCTTCTCATTCCCTCTTCTCTCACAGGCTTGTTTTACTTCTCAGAGGCTACAAATATCATAGAGAGGCCATAAGTGGTAACAGAGAATCTAGGACTTCTGGATCGAAGGCTTAACATGGGCTTGAACTCCACAATTTTCTTACTACTTGATCTTGAACAAATTGTATAAATTTCCTGAGCCTCAATGTCACCAACTATAATAAGTGGCTAACCCCTCTAACTCTTAATTAAAAAGATACTAAGCTATTTGATATGACAGTATGTTTTAAGTCCTAAACTATATTTCTGTAAAGTAATTGTGATATTCTTATTTGATAGTAGATAAAACAACAGGCATACTGAAGGTGTGTTTTTTCAATTCCCAGGGATATCAAAAACTAGAACAGCAGCACAGATAATCCAATCAAGAAGACACTCATTGAGTGTCTGGTTTGTACCAAACAGTCACTACGTTGGCTCTGTGCGTACTTCTCCAGATTCTGGCTGAAAGTGTTAAAGAAGCAGAGTGGAAAGCCACTGGACTGCAAGTTGTGTGACATGTGAAGTAATTAACAGTAATTAACTGTGTCCTACAATAATTTTTAAAATTTCCCTGGCTTTTAGACCACTCCCAACCTAAAAAGAAGCAAACTGGACAAAATTTTCCCCAAATTCCCTAAATTATCCCTATATATTATAATGCCTATAATTATCTCTAGATAAATATATACATTCATATATCTTTTAAATAAATGGATAAAGAATTTATATGATATACTATAAATTGCATTAGAAAGACACAATTCAGTATGTGACTCTTGAAAGCTCAACTTCTGTCTTAAAGCATTTGCAATTACTCGAAAATGACAACTAAGAACTGGAATTTAGTCCAACAGTTTAAGATGCTGGTTATGAAACCTGCCTCCCATGAGACTACCCGACTCCAATTCTCAAATCTGGCCTTAACTCCAGCTACCTACTAACATAGCCCTTTGCAAGCAGCAATGATGGTTCAAGCAATTAGGACCCTACCACTTATGTGGGAGACCTGAATCGAGTTTATGGCTACCGGTTTATGACTCTGTCTCAGCCTTGGCCATTGCCAGCATTTGGGAAGTGAAATTGAAGATGATAGCTCTCTCTCCCTCAAATAAATATATTTTTTAAAAATTATGTTCACTTTTAAAAAGTAGGAAAGATGTAGCATCAACTCCCTCAATGGCAAACATAAAATAGGTAATATCATTTTTCCTCTGTTCCTTCTGTTGAACTTGCAGAAAAGCTTTTCTTTCAAAGGTCAATCTACGTGTACATTTAATTGTGCTGTTGCACAATCTTTTTAAACTTTTCCCAGTCTCCTACTTGACTCTCCTGTCCTCCTTCTCAGTTGATTCCATTTCTGTTTTCTCTTCCAAGCTCAATTCTTGTCTCCAGTTTGATTCCCTTTGCTCTCCCAACCTGAAAACACCTTCAGCTCCAACTGTCAAACCATCACTCAGGCGGCATCTTAAATTGTTCAAATGATTTAGGAGTCATGCCCGGTGATAACTTCAACACAATGCTTTCTGTGTCCTATTTTTTTTTTTTTTTGCCTTTCTGCTACTCCACCACTAGTGTTTTTCTGACTCTGACTTGTTTTGCCTCTGCCTGTGAACTAATAGGATTTCTCCAGGTCTCACCTGTTTGTTGAATTTAATAACTTTCAATATCTGAAGTTTCAAATTGAATTCCAGAAAAATATTTGTAATTGATTAATGAGCATCTAAGATTTGATGCCCTGCCAGCTGCCTTGATGTGTCTTTTGTTTTATATCACTTCCCCTCAAAAATCTGGACCCTGCTGTTTTCCCAAACATCACGCTCAATAAGCATAAACTTAGCGGTGTCTGACTCCATGAGATCCAGTCTGTTGTATCTAATGGTCTCTATCTCACCATCTTCCTTATTTCCAGTTTCTACACAGCTTCCTTTCAGAATTTGTCTTTCTTTGTCATCACTCATACAGAGTCTGTCAGTCAATATCACTCCTACACATAAACACCTAAATAATTCAAAGTCTCAAAATTTCCCATAAAATTAAATATTCATTGCTTTATGTGTGAATCGAAAAGTTGCTACTTACTTGTCCACAGACACATAAGGATAGCAAATTCAAATAGGTCGCAAATTTTCAGGGCACATACATATAACAACAACAAAAAAAATGGTTTTCTGAAATACGTATTCAAGGGGGTAGTCTGTATTTTACTTGAGCCCTAAGGTCCTACTGAAATGTTTTCTTTTCCTATCTATCCTTAAACACTCCCCACTCTA